GAAACGTGTGAGGGGTGTGCCGAATTTGGAGCGGTGGTGCCATGCGGGCGCTACCGCTGGGGCCTTCGGTGGGGCTCCCTATGGGGCCACGAAGCGTGTAAGGGGTGTGCCGAAACAGAGACATTCGGATGGCATAGGCGATGTGGCAGGAGGGAGGAGGGAGGAGGGGGAGAAGGAAGGAGGGAATGGACGCGGGGTGCTGTCTTGTCAAAATCAGGGCCCGACACCACAGGATGGTTGGGAACAAAGGAAGTCGCACGCGAGAGCGCGATTTCTGGTCAAATTGTGAGGAAGTCGTGCTCGAGAGCGAGTTTGAATGACTTGTAAGGAAGTATCAGGCGGAGCCTCTGTTGTTGTAATTCTGGAACAAATTAAACGCAGTTCGGAGGTCGACCACATTCATTTGTAAAAGACAAGGAGGGAGCTCCGGGAAGGGCACTTCCGTTGAAAACCCACAGGGTGTGTCGTATGGGAAACATGAGACTTGAGCAACAAGCGACTCAGAACCAGTAGAATCGGGGCTACGGAATGTCATCTTGCTCACGCAACCAGGGGTGCTGTAAGAGCGTTTGGCCCCGGCGCTCTGACCAGCCTGTCCCCCCGTCGCCCTCCAGCAATTCTTGCGCCCCTGCGTTGGCTCGTCCAGGGGCAAGAGCCACTGCCCCACCCCCCGTCAGATTTGCGGGCAAAACTTGTCCCCATATCCACTGCAGCCTGGGGTTTCGGGCTTCCTTTCCCAGCAAGCCGAGAAGCACTGGACATGGATGAAAATCAGGCCCCTACTAGAGGCTCGAATTTTATCCACATCCAGTGCGCCCCTGCCTTGCGGCGCCCCTTCCACGGAAGTCCAAGACGCCCTGGATGTGGATAGAATTGCTGCCCGCAAGATTGGAAAGCTCGCCCGGCGGCAGAGCCAAGAGCACAGGCACCCCCTGGACAGAGAGGATGCCTCAACGGCAGAGAGGATGCCTCAACGTCACGGGCCCTCCGTTGCGAACGCGGCGCGGAGGACCCACCTCTGCGCGAAAGCAGAGTACCACTGTGTCGGGCGTGCGCCCTACAGGGGGATGTTCGACGAAAAATAGAGAATGTCCCGAACATGCCCCAAAAAGGTCAAACAATACTCAAAAAATAGTCCCCAGACTATTTTTGGACTATTGTTTGATTATGTTTGGGGTGTTTTTTCTCGTCGAAAATCCCCCTGCAGGGGGACAGGACTGACTTAAGAGTACCATTGTTCGCGAGGCCCCGGGGAACCCCATCAAAGATGATGCCTCGAGCAGTCTGCCTTCTGTACGAGGGCTTGTGTCGATGCCTCCGATTCGGATCGATTCGAGTTCGATGGTTTCTTATGTTGATTCGATTCGGCTTCGGATTCCGACTTGGACTCCGATCCCTTATTGGAGGCATACTAGCTTGCCGATGTTCGCCGATTCGACTTCTCACGACTCGGCTGCAGATTTCCGCCGACCCGATTCACTTCGATCGCCGATCCGACTTGTCGAGTCTGGGCTCTCCTGGGCCCCTGGATTCCTCAGCCGAGATGATGCCTCGAGCAGTGGGCCCTTTGTACTTTCCTCCTCCATCCCCAGACCCCCGACGCCATCATGCTCTCACAACGTCGACCCCCAGCGATCTCCACCCTTTCTTCGGGACCGTCATCCTCAGTCGATCTTTGACGGCCCCAGGATGTGGCGAGGGCTTCCAGAGACAGAACATAGCAAAACACGCCCGTCGTTATTTTGTTCACGCCACGATGGGTCTGCTCGTTGCGTCATATCCGGTCCCGAACGAAATTTCCGGGCTGGTTTTGGAGGCCGCCAAGGCGATCGCGGCAGCCACAATTCGGGGCAGGGTTTTTGTCAAGCAGTGACATGCCCCTTCCTAGCACCCCCCCGCCCTGCGACGTAGACGTGGTTTATGATTGGCGATATGGCGGCCGAGAGCTGTCAATTGATGTTCAACATAGGCAGACGTCTTTTTGGTTTTGGGCCGATTTTCGCTAGGCCTCCCAAATGGGGTTCGAGCATGCGGGGACAGAGGATTGCGCGAGCGTTCGTATCGGGAGGCTGGCTTCGCGGACTGGGGGGCCGTGCTCGTGTGCGTGGTTGGGCGCGCACGTCTTCTGTGTGCTCCCCGCCCGCGTGTCGTCGCGCTTCCCTCCTTCCCCGCTCCGCTCCGTTCTCTCTCCTCCCCCCTCCGAGGCGGGCACTTCTGCAGGACCACCGCCCGGAGAGGATCCATTTCCTCGGAGACCCCGGCAGGCGGTGGGCACGGACCGGGCGAAGCGAACTATGCACATGCACCGATCCTGACAACGCCCATCCTTGACCCAGGATCGGTGCATATACCTTCCTGGCCAAGGTAAGAGGGCGTATGCACCGATCCTGGGCTCAGGATGGTCCTGGCCAGAATCGGTGTGTGTGTGTGTGTGTGCAGAGTTCTCTTTCCTCTAATGGATGTGCTCGGGCGCCCTGGGTGCCGCAGCCTGTATCCCTGTCCACCGCCCGCTGGGGCACCAGGACGCCGCCTCCCCAGGCGGCGGATGTGCACGAATCCCCGCCTCGCATCCTCCTCCTCCTCCTCCTCCTCCTCCTCCTCCTCCTCCTCCTCCTCCTCCTCCTCATCATCATCATCATCATCATCCTTCTCCTCCTCCTCCTCCTCCTCCTCCTCCTACTCCTCCTCCTCCTCCCGAGCACCATCCTCCTCCTCCTCCTTCCTCCTCCTCCTCATCCTCCTCCTCCTCCCGGGCACCCGGAGAAGAGCATCGGAGCAGCGCCGCACGAGCAGCGGCGCCACTCCCAGGGCCCGACGCGCGAAGTGCCCAGCGCCTCGGCGCCTTCAGAGGCGGTGGACGTGCTCGGATGTGTAACTCCTTCTCGATGGATCCGAACAGACCTAAACCCTAAACCCTAAACCAGTGAAGGCATTCTCGATGGACATCTTACACGTGAGCACACTGCACGGGGCCTTCAGGACCTGGGTAACCAGAAAGGACGTGTGCCCACGGCGTATGCATCCACCAGCGCCCTACACCGCATCCTATATAATGTGGCGTATGATATATGACGTATTCGGGTGCAACTACTGGGAGGTCCACTTCTGATCTTGCCCTGGTCCGAAATCCGGTTTGCCTCCAGTAAGGGATCGGAGTCCAAGTCGGAATCCGAAGTCGAATCGAATCAACATCGGAAGCCATCGAACTCGAATCGATCCGAATCGGAGGCATCGACACAAGCCCTCGTACAGAAGGCAGACTGATCGAGGCATCATGTTGGCTGAGGTACCCCGGGGCCTCGCGAACAATGGTACTCTTAAGTCGGGCCTGTCCCCCTACAGGTGGATGTTCGACGGAAAATAAAACATACCCCAGAAATAAGCCAAACATGGTCCAAACATAGTCTGGGGAATATTTTGTGAGTGTTTTTTTGGTCATTCTGGAGCATGTTTGGGGTATTTTTGATTTTTCGTCGAAAATCCCCCTGTAGGGGGACAGGCCCGACTTAACCCTGGTCCGAGATCTGGCTTGATCCCGCTCGATCCGGCTCAATCCCGCTCAATCCCGCTTGATCCCGGCGTGAACGGACGCGGGCGATCTCGAGAGGATTCTCGATCCTCCTCCTCGCTCGGATGCAGCTCCTGGGAGGTCAACTTCTGTTTTCGCCGTGGTCCGAGATCCGGCTTGATCCAGCTTAATCCCGCTCAATCCGGCTCAATTCGGCTTAATCCCGCTAAATCCGGCTTAGTCCGGCTCAATCCGAGGCCCACTCCGGCGTAAGAGCCCCCCAATAGGGCTCAATCATCCTTAATCTTTCCGGCGAAAACACCCCAGTAGTTGCCTCCCAAGATGTGGATCCAACCCGAATACCCGAATTTCGGGTTGGGGGGGGTATGGGCTCCATACGTGCTTTTGTCGATGTTTCCCGACCCCCCCCCCCCCCCACTGGAAATGGATGGCAAATTGAGGCCTTCGGGTTGGGTTGGGGTGGCTTGGTAGGTTTAAGTCGGGCGTGTCCCCCTACAGGGGGATTTTCGACGAAAGATAAAAAATACTAGAAACATATTCCCAAATGGTAAAACAAAATACTCAAAAAATAGTTCACAGACTATTTTTGGACCACTTTTTGAATTATTTTCAGGGTATTTTTAATTTTCCGTCGAAAATCCCCCTGTAGGGGGACAGGCCCGACTTAATGGCAGGTGGCCAGGATGTGGATCAATCGCCGCCTCGCACCTCCGCTCGGCACGAACGAAATGGGTACGGAAAGAATGGATACAATGCCCAACAGCAGTTCCTGTTCATTCTGAACAGGACTCGCTGTTGGTGTCGCCGCGGCCTGTGTCCATTTGAGACAGAAGGCCGCCTGCCCAACAGTGGCCGCTGTTGGTTTGGGACAACATTTGTTGTTGGGCATTTTACGTTGCATCTTCGGGGGACCTCGCCTGTCCCCAAAATTGGTGTCTTTTCTGGTGTCCGACGCATGCTTGATGCGGACTCGACGCGGACTTGGCATGGATTCGACGCGGATTCGACACGGGTTCGACACGGATCCGACGAGTCCGACATGGATTCGACACGGATTCGATGCGGATAGGACAGCGACGGGACAGACAAGATCCCCCGAGGATGCAACACAGGGCATTGTACCCACTCTTTCCGTGCCCACTCCGGGCGTCCAAATCCGCTCCCCTCCCCGCCCCCGGGGCGGCGCGAGGCGGGCAGGCTGCGCCGCGCGGCCCCCCACCTCCCGAGGTCCATGGGCAGGGGGCTCGGGGCGCCCGCGGGCTCGTGGAGCCTGTTTGCTGGCAGGCAGGCAGGCAGGCAGGCAGGCAGGCAGGCGTCGTCGCCGTCGTCATTGTCGTCGCCGTCGCCGTCGTCGTCGTCGTCGTCATCGCCGCCATCATCGCCGTCATCGTTGTCGCCGTCGCCGTCGTCGTCGTCGTCGTCGTCGTCGTCGTCGTCGTGGCCCGTGTTCCCCGCCTGCCGTCCCCGTCAGGCATCGAGGCCAAGCAGCCCAACTCCGCCATCCGCAAGTGCTGCCGGGCCCCGCGCCCGGCGGCGCGCGCCCGGCGGGCGGATCGACGGCGGCGGAAGGCCGGAGCCAAGGCGCGGAAGAGATCGCCCCTGGGGGGAAGCCCAGACCCCCCCCTCCTCCTCCTCCTCCTCCTCCTCCTCCTCCTCCTCCTCCTCCTCCTCCTCCTCCTCCTCCTCCTCCTCCTCCTCCTCCTCCTCCTCCTCCTCCTCCTCGCGCGGGCTCCCTCGGGCCTGCGACGCGCGCCCGCAGGGTCCACTGGACCGCGGTGCGGCGGCACCCGTCGCCTGATCCGAGGGCGCGGCGAGGTGCAGGAAGCGGGGGCCCGACTGCTGGCGCTTGGGGCCCCTGGCCCCCAGGGCAGTGCGGCTGCAGGGCGCTTCCGGTGCGGCCACGTCACGCCCTGGTCGGGAGCCTTGAGACGGGGGTCAATCCAGACGGGGGTCAGCCAGGGCGCCAGATCCTGCAGGATCCTGCGAAGATTCCCTCTGGCTGACCCGGGTTAGGGAGCCGCTCGTGGCCGCGAGGCGGCCGCGCGTATTGGTTGACCCGGGTTCGCGAAGATCTGCGTTGCAGTTTTTTTATCCTGCATTGCAGTTTTTGGTTTCCCGCTGACCCGGGTCTGGATTGACCCGGGTCAGAAGATCCCCGACCTGGGTTTTTTTGGCCCTGGCTGCCGTACTAGGGGGGGCTGCTGGGACCTGCTGGGGGTCCCTGCGGCGCGGGGCCTTCCATTCTTTTTGGCTGTTTTTCGTCGTGGGCCCCCCCTCGAGCAGAGGGGCCCCGCAAGCCTCAAGGCTCCATTGTGCTCACAGAGCTGTGGACGTCTTCTCCGCATAGTCCCGGATAGTCCTCCTCCTCCTCCTCCTCCTCCTCCTCCTCCTCCTCCTTCTCCCCCTGATATTCCCCGCCATCCTTCCCCAAAATGTTGCGAAGACAGACGCGGCGGGGTGGGGTTTTGCTATCTTCGGCCTCCGGGGGCATTTCCCGGGCCTAGGGCCTGTCGACAGGGAGCGACTCAGGACGACGAAAGGGCTCCCGGGGAAGGGATCCAGACCTCTTGAAGAATCACGCCGTCGGAGGTTTGGGAGCGGGCCCTGAGGGGCATGGGTCCTCAGGGTTGTCGCTGGTCGTGGGTTCCCCGGGCCCTCTGCCGGCCCCGGGGCCGTCAGAAACCAACGCAGGATGAAGAGCTCGTCCCGGGGGGCCGGCCCCAGGGTCCAGGACCCGTTTCCCTCAGGATCCGTTTCCCCCATGTTAAACAGGATGATTGCAGTGGGGGCGCGCATCAAGAAACCATATATTGTTCGTCAGGGTATCCTGGATGTCTTGGCTCCGCGCGCTGCGCGTTGACTTCCCGCGGCCGTTGAAGGAGCTGCTGCGTTCAGAGTGTTCCAGGTTTCCCCTCAGGTGCACCTCGCGCACGGGTTCTCAGTGTTGGTTTTCTGGCGAGGGTTTCTTGCGGCCGCGCCCGCACTGCATGTCGGGTTCATGGATCGAGTTGGGGCCAGGGAGATGCCAGTGGATTTGTATGTCTGCCCACTACTCAGTTGCAATAGGCGGCCCGAGCATAGTTTATACATTATACAGTATATATACACAAATCTTTGAACACACACACACACATATATATATATATATATACAGACATACATACATACATACATACATACATACATATACATATGTATGTGTGTGTGAATAGGTGTTCCTACACCTGTGGCCTAGAGAACAGGCAAATGGGACAGGGTTCATAGACCTCAGTGTACATACGCGCGGTGCCCATCTAGGCTTGCCAGACCTCCAACGCAGGGACCAGATCCAGACGGAGGTTTCCTCTCAGTGTTTCGGCCGTTGTTGGGCCCTTACCGGCCCCTGGGGTCGTCAAAAGCAGTTCAGGCTGAAAAACCGGTTTCGGGGCATGGGTCAAGACCTCCAGAGACCGCGTATTGAAAAATGAAGACATCTGACGCTTAGGCCTCCCAGATGGGGTCCGAGCTGGTGCTGTCGGAGGATCGCGCCGCATCGTTGGTGCATCGGTTCATCGGCAAGTCGGTTCGATGTGGAGCCCGATTTTCTTCACGCCACCGTCACCGATGCATCGCCGACGTCGCCGATGTATCGGCGATGCATCGGCGATGGATCGGCGATGTGTCGGCGATGCGGCGCGATCCTCCGACACCATCGACTCCGACCCCATCTGGTTAGCCTCCTGTAGACGCTGGAAGAAGGACCATTTCGCGGCGGAGAGCCCAGGGGGGGGCAGCGAGAGGGAACAGTTCTTTTTGGCAGAAGGTTCAGAAGGCTTCTCGGAAGGCGCGACGGCACTGAGCAGTCCAGCCAGCTTCCGAGAAGGCGTGCCCACTCTCCCTGTCCCTTGGGCTCGCCGCCGGGGTTCGCGTTCCAGGAAGAGGACGGAGCTGCATAATCATGCACGTTCGGAGATCTGCGCGGATTTCTTGTAACGGCGCCGGGCCCGCCTGGCGGCGCCGCTGGCGCCGCCCCTGGCGCGCTCCGCGCGCCAGGAAGGTTTTTTCCCGCTGCCAGCACCGTCTGCCTGTTCAGGTCAGCGACGCAAGGGACAACACGGGGCCTTCTGCGCCAACATTGGCGCGTAGGTGGACCGCATAAGGTCGCGCGTAAGCACCCTCGTCTCGAAGGTGCCGTGCCGCGTTGGCGGCCCGCGTAAGTTGCAGCGTAAGGTCGCGACGTCGTCTCGCGTAAAACCTCCTTTCTTTTCGTTCCTCAGGTGCAGCTTATCAAGAACGGCAAGAAGGTTGCGGCGTTCGTACCCCGCGACGGCAAGCCGTTGCTTCCCCTCTGCTACTAGCATGGGAGAGAGAGAGAGAGAGTGAGAGAGAGAGAGAGAGAGAGAGCAGGAGAAGGGTCCGGGGCTGGAGTGGTCAGAGTTGTCAAGAGGTTGAAGTGCCCTGCATGTCGGCCGAAACCTTGGCATCGTTCGGACGTGTGCATTTTTTCTCGGCGAGGTTCATCGAGGAGCATTTTGGGTCATCTTGCGAAAAGTACACGCGCGACATCGAAACATGCACGGGGCATGGACGTCCGAGCGATGGCGAGAACCAAGTCGAACGGGAAGGTTCGCCCTCCCTGGGGGGGAAACCAGTTGGACGGCTCGAAGTCCCTGACGGCCAGTGCCGACTGAATCGATCAGGACCAGCGTCACACACTCGCTATCCCAAGAGATGGGGGGATGAAAGGGCACTCATCTCGCTACCCTCGGAGGAGGAGGAGAGGAGGAGGAGGAGGAGGAGGAGGAGGAGGAGGAGGAAGGAG